TTTTTTTTTTGTTTGTTGAATAATATTTTTTTATATTTAGTTATCTTGTTGAACATAAAGAAGTTGAATTAAATATTCGAGATCGATGGGATTCAACACCATTGTAAGTCGAATTGTTAATTATTTAATAAAATCTTAAAAATAAAAACATAGGTATTATGCTTGTCTATGTGGTCATTTGGAAATAGCTCAATATCTGCTGGATAATGGTGAGAATGATATATAAGAATTGATGTAATTTGATTTTTCATTGTATACAGAGTGAAACAAAAGTTTTGAACTCTCATGAAAAAAGAAAATATATCTTTACTTCTTTTCAACAAATGAAGTTTGTTATCTCATCTTTTGCAACTTGATGAATATATCTTAAAATTTGTTAACTCTAATCGTACTAATAAAAGATAGATATTGGAAGAATAGATGGAGTTATAGTTGATGATTAATTAAATGTCTATAGTAGATTTATAGAAGAATTATATTTAATTTTGATTGGTTATATACAAACTTTTGAATATAGTTCATAACATTCATTTTCGAATAGACTTTTATCAGTATACTTTCTATGTTATGAGTTTTTCTTTTATCCTATTGTATTTTATAAAAGAATATTAAAGAACAACTTTTGATTTTAGGCAACTTGCACACATATTTTGAAAAAAAAAAACTTCTTTACAATATAGACTATATCTTACGCTTATTCATAGGGTTAGAAATACGAAGATTTAGGATGCTCCTAGCCCACTAGACTACTATTGCTACCAACCTTTTTGTGTTGTAGCTATGTTTTCATTGACTTACACGTATAGAAGTTTTCAATAATTGATAAATCGAAATTTTCGAATTGTGCAACCTGTTTCTGAATACTTATAATCATTTCTGTGGAATCAAAGATTGACTGTCAAGTCTGTTTTGGTTTCATACTATTAAGTAGACAAAATAATAAGTTCTTTACACAACTTTTCATATGCACATACTCATCTATCTTCAGCACTCGGTGAATCCATGTATGAATACGAACAATGGTTAATACAATATTTTAGTTAAAGAATTATCAACCTTTAAAGGAGTCATAAAGAAAATCTTATTAGACATGTATCGATATGATTTTGTTGAACGAGTTTATTATAGAACCTTGCATACAATTTAGAAGTAAAACGGAACATACGCTAATTATTTTGACAAAAATATACTTAGAGCATACCAAAAGTAGTGGTCCAGATACTTTTTTTCCTTATAGAAAGCTTAATAAAATTTTCTTTTTTTATAAACAGATAGAACGTCTTCCACTCTATTTTTCTATGCTATTCGATCACTATTCAACTAATATCGTAATAATCAAACTTCGATAAGAACTGTTTCTGTTGAAAACTAGCTGGTACCATTTAGATCATAATGGGTATGGCATAAAAAATGGGACACTCTTGCATTTCATTTTATCATCATATAATACCTTGTATTAAAAATAAAAGAAAACATACCACAAGATGCAACGTAAAAAGTTCTACAATTTATAAGGGACTGTTTATTTTATAGTTGCACTTTTTTGCCTTCACAATGGACAAAACTCTGAGCGACTAAATTGCGACGTTACGAAAACGAGATTGTTTTTTGGTAAAAGACGAATTCATTTTTTTTTCTACCTTATCTTTTTATAATTGTTCTTTCTAAATTGTAGAGCTTTTCACGCTGCATCTTGTGGTATATTTGGTTTTTTTAATACAACGTATTAGGTGATAATAAAGTGAAATACAAAAGTGTCACACCTATAATGATCTAATGGTACTAACTAATTTTCAACAAAAACAGTTCTTATCGACATTTTATTATTATGATATTAGTTGAATAGTGATCAAATAGCATAGAAAGATAGAGCGAAAGATGTTCTATCTGTTCATAATTTTTTTCAAGCTTTCTGTAAGAAAAAAGCTGTTAGCGCAATCCTTGCAGGATTAAAATGTGAAACACGATATACTTATTCTTACTAATTCCCTAAAAACTGCTCTTTTTTACGTATATTGGGTACATTCCACCAGCATTGCTAAATTTACACAGTAGAATTTCATAAAGGAAATACTTCATCAATGCTCCGATTGGACGTTAGTTATACAGAACATTTGATAGTCTGTTGAAGGCAGCTATCAATCACTGTGAGGACCCATGAAGGGTGCGTGTCATGGTCTGTGAGCGGCCTGGATTTGTCTGCCACGGTCTGTGATGGATCCAGGCCGTGTCTGTCACGGTTTGTGGGGGAGGGGAGTGCAAATTTCTACCCTATATACTTCAACACTCCTTTCAGATCGTGTTTCACAAAAGTATCTGGACCACTACTTTTGGCATGCCCTAAGTAAAATAAAAGTCTCTTATTTTTGAGCGATGGGTAGTTCAGATCTTATAGTCGATGTTGTACCATCTTACACTAATTTTTATAATCGAGTTCGATAAATATTCATATAGTTTAAACCGACTACTGTTCACTTTTGTAAGATGTTTTTTATTTTTCAGCCTAGGGTTTGCTCATACTTTTGTCAAGTTAATAAAAATTAATAGAATTTCATTTCTGAGGTGCGCATAAGCTCATAACAGGATGAAATCTAACAGAATGGTATATTTCCTATTCCACAATTCCTCGACAGCGATCTACGAGTGGTAAGTATATACACGCATTTTTCCACGTTGCAAAAGAAATTGATTTGTCCGTTGCTCGAAAACATACAACATAAAAAAAGCTATAATTGAATAGTAAGAAGCAATAAACTAATCTATCCAATTTCTTACATTGTTTGTTTTGTGCTTAGATCAAACACAGTGGACTTCTATTCTGAGAGGGAGACTTAACACGTATCTAGTTATAAGAGATTTAGACGCCAAATTTTGAACATTTTTGAATTTGTAACAAGGAGAAAAAAGTATTTTTTCAAAGAACGTTCAAAATTTGAATGTATATGTTATTGTTTTTTGTTTATTTTAGGTGCTCGATGTGAAGCAAATACATTTGATGGTGAACGTTGTCGATATGGAGCTTTAAATGATACTATTCGAACATTATTAAAAAATTATAATGTTTTAACAGCACGAACAGTTAAACGAAATACTTATGATGAATTTTTAAGAAAGTAAAAATTTTAATGAAAAAAAAAAAAAAATTTAAATTTCTCTCATATTAAAAATCTTTAGACTTTATGAACAAGGTTTATATAGTGATGTAACATTTGTTGTTGATGAACGAATATTTCCTTTACATCGATGTGTATTAGCTGCACGATCATCATTTTTTCATGAAGCATTTGAAGGACGATGGCATGGAAAACGTAATATTAATTTAACAAAAGCAAAAGTAATTTTATTTTATTAATTATTTTAATTATTATAAAAAGAAAAAGAACTTTTATTATTTTAGTTTAATGTCGATAGTTTTGAATCTGTAGTTCGATATTTATATACGAATTGTTGTGAAATATCATTGGATAATATTGATACTGTTAAAGCATTAGCTAGAAGTTGTCGTTTACCTCATTTAATTGATTTAATTGAACGTAAAAAACATGAAATCGATCAATGGCGTATGTTTATATCAAATTTTCATGATTCTCTTTTTTTTTCTTTTAAATATAACATTTTGTTTATTTTTTTCTAGAAGCAAGTAAAACAGCATCATCAAATATTTATCGTCTTGTACTTGAACCTGATGAAGATGATGATAGTATACGATTAGATTTTCGTATGTTAGCTGAACAAGCTATTCCATTAGAACTTCGTCAATGGGTATGCAATCGAACAATAAAGAATTTTGATATAATAAAATCATTGTTAGCCTATGTTCAGCCATTTGAGAGTACTTTTCCCTCTTCTAGTCATGTCTACTTCTCGAAGATGGTACAATGAGTCTGCATGAAATTTTACCAAAGATAGAAGATCTAAAATAAGAAGACATGTGGTTTGAGAAAAAAAGAAATTTAAACAACTGCACTGGTTTTCCATAGAATCAAATTGGACCTACTTATGACCTTCGTGTAACTTTGTTCGATTGGGCTAAAGTTTTGATGACAGATACTTGGAAGTATTCTTCAGAGGTGAAATCGACTGTGTTCGTTTTTTGACCTTTCTATCCGAGTTCTGAACACCAACATCTCAATTTTAGATTCAAACCTTTACATATTTCCCTCATCAAAAAAAAAAAAGAAAGTCAGATATTTGAAAAAGCTCAAAACCAACTCTGAGATATAGTCTAAGATATTTTCAAAAAAATGTCCAGTTCGATCGTATAAAGTGAGACGGTGGGGATCGTAAGCGGACTCGAATATAGTTCTATGAAAAATCAGTTTTTCCGGAAAAGTTGTTTATACGATTTTCCTCGAACACGTGCCTCGTTATTTAAAGTGCTTTATCTTTGGTAAAAATTTCATACGGATCAGTTTTATCCTTTTCGAAAACTAAAAAGAGCGGAGTATCATTAAAAGAAGTTAGTTAGATTATTTCAGAGAGAAAATCTGAACGTATATTCACGAATAGTGAAAACTTTTGTGCCAAGACTTTCATGGCATATGTTATTTTCTTAATCGATAAATCTAATGAATTATTAGAAATTCTTTTATCTTTCAAGATTGTTTGATAAAGATTATCTATCGATTTCTATTGAGATTATTTCATTTTATCATAAATATATTTCATATCATTTGTATATTTTACTAAAACTCTTGGATATATCTTTACAAAAAAATCCATAGAAATATGATTTCAATTAATCATTCAGTTTTTATACATTATATTTAATGTATCAATTAATATATCCGATGAATTCTTATCTCTGGAAGTATCAATTTTGTTTCACAACTTGAGATAGTTATCAGTCTAACTAATAGCATAAATTTTAGCCTGATAAATGTTGTTTTTTCTTTTTTTATTATTTGAAGATTGCTGGTAGTGAAATGCCATTTATTGATCAACCTCATTTGGATACATTTTCTGATCTTATATTTATTGTTGATGAATGTTATTATTTTCATGTTCATCAAGCATTTATATGTACACGAACAGAATATTTTTCAGCACTTATTAAAAATCATTTTAATGAAATGTTACCAAATACAAAACAACAAAATGATACAAAATCAACTGTTATGTTAAAACATATACATAAAGAACATTTTATTCCACTTTTATATTATATTTATTCTGATGAATGTGAAGTAAAAATTATTATTTTTTTAAAATTTTATAGAATATTTTATTTTATTTTATTTTTGTTTCAATTATAGATTTCAAATGATTGCGTTGATGATTTACTTGTAATTGCTGATGAACTTTTTTTACCTGGTTTAAAACGTCTTTGTGGAAATACTTATTCAAAACTACTTAGTAATGAAACAATTATATCAATACTTCGTCTTGCACGTTTATTTCAATTAGTTAAACTTGAAAATCAATGTATTCGATTTATTAGTGATAATTTAGAAGAGGTTCGATTGAACTATTATTTTCTTTTTTTTTATTTTAATGTTAATTGAAAAAAATAAATTTCATTTATTTAGGTATTACAACAAGATGAATTTAAAAAATTTGTTCTTGAAGATGCAGCTAGTGTAGTTGATCGACAAGAAACTGATACTGTACCAATTATTGATGATTTAAGATTTTATTTGGCTGAATTTTCAACAGTTAATCGTTCGGATATAGATGAAACATTAGAAAAAATGAAATTACTTGATGATTTTCTTGATAATATTGGAGTAAATGCTTAAAATGAAAACGATTTTCATTTTTCTTTTCTAACTAAAAGAATTCAATAGTTAAGGAATGAATAGATTCAGTTTTGCTTTTTTATTATTTGGGAAACGAGTGAGTCTTTTAAACAAAAATTTTGAGTACTTTTTCAAAAATGATAGTTGCTAAGAAAATCAATTGCATATTAATTGTAGAAAAACTTCGAGAGATAAATAATGAATATATGAGAACTAACCAGAGGATATGTTCTCAGTATTATTTTTCTAGTGATTTTAATCTTATCTTACGATTGCAAATGTATTCTTTATTATTTTTGTGTATTATATTTTAATAAAAATATATAAACAAGAATATAAAGTTTACACGGTGCATGTGATAAGTATTGTAATGAGTTAAGCATTATATAACTAAGTTGCAAAATCATCAAATGATGTTCATGATAATGATTGATATTCTTGTAGTCAAACAAAGATATTATGATGTTTGATTTTTCGGTGATGAAACAATATAAAGGGTATTTCATAAGTTTCGGCCCCATTTTTATTTTTATTTTTATTCTTGCTATATTTTAAGGTAAAGAGGCAGAGTCTATATGTTTTTGAAGAGTAGTGTCTAAACTATCATCT